TTTTGATCATGGAGGTTCAGAAGAGCATCGTGGCCGTCCGGCAACAGGACGTTCTCAAGAGTCGTTGGAGATAGAGAAGCTTAGCCTATCGATCTGGTATGGTTCTAGGAGTAGTGTGTGGCTTACGAAAAGAATACACGACACTTGGAAAGTGGTTAAAGGCATGAGTTTGTTCAACTTTGATTTGATTTTTGACTCCGACCTGTAGTTATACCGCAACAGGCCGCGCGATCTTCACTGATCTGGTACACTTGAAATGTTCCTTGTATCTTTGCTTTACGATCGTATATGTTTAAGAATTGATGTTTTTTAAAATAAATTATTGCCTGAATATTCTGTTTATAATCTAGTTTCTTTATGTGTGCTACTCGATAACATTTGTTTTGCGGAACACTGACCCGATGCAACGCGAATGAATTTGTTCATTTGCTGATAAGCATTTGAAATTTATGCTCAGTTAAGGATAATCTTTATACTCATACGTTGTGCGTTTTTGTCACCGGTCAGGTGCTATTTGTAGGTATTTCTGGATTTATATAAGGCGAACTGAGAGAACAGTAATAAGATGTTTGTTTACAAATTTTGTTTGCCGATCGGTGACTGCTTTGTTAGCGTGGGTACGACCTCGTAAAAATACACGTTGGTAAATGTTTGTTTCAAAGCAGGACAGGGCTGTAAATCTTATTCTTATCGGCTGCAACATATTTCTGAGGAGTAGCAAAGAATAACTTGAATTATGGGGATAAATAAAATCAAACCAAATGCCCGCAAATACTCTCGCGTCGCGAACAATTAATTGAATTTTGTAAATTTACTTGCATGCATCTAACTCGCATCCGATCGGTTGAGAAACAATCAGCTACTGTCAGAACTCACACGTGCGCATTATCGTGAACCAGTCCCTTTAAAGTGGAAAAATGCACCAAGATTTGAACTTCAGGTTCTCTTACTCTTCCCCCACCTTCCTTCCCTTTCCACCCTTTCCATGTTCCGCCTTCTCTTCGATCTATTATCCTCCCGCCCTGGTACCGGCTCTTCATCACGGCCGTAGTTTTCAAATGTCTGGGAAATGAAAAACTCAAAGAAATTTCCACAGAGCTGTTGACTTTTTCAATAATCAGAAAATGTGAAAAGGTGTTAACATAGACACCAATTAAAAGATGCCTGAAGGAAAAAAGGTTTATTTATAAGACACGAGGAAAAGGACAGCGTTAAAAGAGAAGGAAGTAAATGTAAACTTAGCGTGACGCAAGTATTACAGTTTTTTTGCAAGACCCCAGTGTGGAGTCTCTTATTCGGCAACTGTTTAGCATAAAGACTAAACAGAATATTAATTAAAGTCAACTGATGCATAAGATACAGTACTTCAAGTCTAGTTTGCGTAGCAGGCTTCAGTTAGGTTTTTGGCGCGCGCGTCCTCGAAATGTCTCAATTGGCCCTAAAAATCCGGAACCTGCTACGCAGGCTACTTCAAGTCATTTTGCAGGTTCCGAGTTCCTTGAAAATGGTCTGGTTGAGTGCTTTCGTACCAGCGTATTAACTTGATAGAGCAATGACCCGACGTGACCACAGGAAGCCCAAGCTCGAAATATGAGCATCGGCATTGTTGCGTAACATTCAAAATATAAGGATTTGTATGGGGAAAAAATCTATCGTTTCTGTAACCTACGAAAATGAAAGGATTTCAATAAAAAACAGCTTACCTTACTTAAAATGTGTGTTACGTCTCTCCTATGTGTTCCACGGGCCGATTTATGGCCGTTGTATGGGTTTTTATGCAAACGGTAATCTCTCTATATAAAGGTTAGGGGCACCCAACCAGAATATAGTTCAAAACCACGTAATCATAGCATTGTTAAACGTATTTTAGTATTTAAACAGTAGATATAGGCACCTTTTCTCAGAGAGCGAGTCAAAGGTCGCAAATCTCTGCAACCTTTCCCGAGCTTGGGTTACCTGTGACGTGACATGATATTAATCTGAACTATTTAAAGTATACAGCATCTTTTTTGATAGCTCAAGTTGCATCGTCATGGAAACAGCGCACACAACTTAAAACGTGAACCAATCACATAGTGTTCCCCTTGATAAACAGGAAATTCATTATGTTATCTGTTTTCACTCACTTACTCATGCTACAAAGAACTTAAAACTGACCAAGGACCCTGACAAGAGACCTCACGAAGCATTGTAGGTATTACTGTACTTTTAGCTGTTGTCCACACGTTTTCATCAGATTAAATTAACAGCTGCTGCAGGTTCTTATGATTAGGGAAGGGAGGAAGAAACAGATCATTGCTTATCATAAATAAGTCAAGCGAGGCTCATCTCAAACTCAAGCTCTATGTCTCCTGTGATCCAGTATGCTTCATACCGCAAACATCAAAGGAAATCAAGCCAAATGGTAAGCTGTTTTACACCAGCGAATAGGGGTGCAAGCTCGAGTTAACCGCAGTGTTAAAAGATCCAAAGCAACCGAAAAAGGTCCTTTTAAAACCAC